CTATGGAACGCACACATATGCAGTATTGGTTTGTTTACAATCTTTTGCTGCCAGCTGCTCTAACAATTTCAGTCGAAAGAATTGTCAAAAACTGTTTTGAAACGCTTTTACAAAGCTCCAATCTTCTCTAGTGAGAGCGAGTATTGTCGGCAACCAGTTTTTCTTCGGCAACCGTTCCATTTGAACTGCATGTAAATCTGCTGTTCTATTATCGGCAACTCGAAATCAGCTACAATTTGTAGTGCGTGTGTTTAATTTCAAGAAAACCTTGCTAGATTGCTTTTTCTCAGTGGTAAAAATATAGTCAAATTGAAGCTGAAAGCGTAAAGAATCGTTTGCATGCATTCAGCGAAGTGTTTTCGTAAGAAAATCCAGTGAAAATAGTGTTTCAATTTGGGTTGCCGAAAATAGTCTGTCATGCCGAAGCCGTCATTTCCCCTAGTTTAATTTTGATATTTTTTTTAAAGATTGGAAAGTTCTCACCATATTCTGCTCTTCCGTCGTCGTTAATTGCTTCCTTTGGAATCCCTTGGACTTTTTCTCTAACGCTTCGTATTTCATTCCGTACTTCACCGGCCATTTCCTTCAGTAGATCGTCCTTGGTTAGTTCTAACATGGTTCCACCCTTTCCGGGTTTTTCTTGTCTTCCGAGGGAGACAAATCCGCATTAACCTCCGTTCCTGGTTCGATTTTCGTGTGGTCGGTTTCATGTCCACCTTCTGCCACTGAACCGCCATGGTGATCTGGGACGAGGCTCACGTCCAAAATCGCTGATCCACCGAGCGCTCCATGTGCGAAAAGAGAATGAAAGAAATACGAAAGGAATCAGTTTCAAGACGTGACAGTCTCATCAGATTCCCCAACCAACCATACTCAAGCAAAGTAAGAAAATACAAGCTATATTGAGACTATATGGCTACTTGGGTACACATATGGCCGTCAGAATGGTTCATCGGTTGCGAAGTGAAGTATTTCTGAAAGTGATGCGTTATATTTCTCAACGTTCAACCTTATCCTAACATTACCTCAATGTTATATCACAGACAAACAGACACAACACATTGAACATTTCTTATTGTAAACCCTACCGCCATCTGTCGTATACACTGTGATGGACAATTCACTCAACAGATGGCTGTTGTGTGTATACGCCAAACGCAAGGAAATTGATTATGTGCGCCACAACATTTAAATTGATCGATAAAAGCAATTTCGATGAACATTTTAAGCATGTTATGTTTGCTTGTCTGTGATCATACCTTCACTATCGCAACCTCGGGTAATCCGCGAAAGTACCTGCAGTTTTCTCAGGCACCCTTGATCTAAATGCAATCACTCTCTCATACTCGAAATGTGCCACGACCAAATTGGCACAACGACGCGGGCTTGATCAATACATTTTTAAAAATTCGCCGTACTTTCAACGGGGCCAGTAAACTATTTTTTAAATACTTTATTAATGACATTTTTAGCCGATGGCTAGTTCATCTCAGAGGGCTAGCAAGCCCATCTAATTCACTTCCAAGACGATCTTCAAGCATTCAAGCAAAACTCCGAAAGGTTAGTATGGAAAATGTTGCCATGTTCCATAGACTCAGAAGTATGGCTGACAAAAACGCGCACGAGCTAAATTCGAAAAATTATTACTCATTTTCACTCACCAGATTATCAATGTGAGCTGTGTTTCCCTGAGCTGATACACGAAGATGCTGATGTAGTCCGCAATCCGTTTTCTTCCTCAATGGATGTAAAAGTCTTGATGAAACACAGGATGAATATTTGGACCTGAGAAATGATTCATCATCTCGTGATGTGTTCCGTGAAAAAGATTTGAACCAGTGGTTCTGACGTGCCATGTCGTATCCCAAAGTCTACTAGCAAACATTGAAGTTCCTTGTCCCATTTGCATCTTCGTACGTACGTACGAGCGCGGATTTTCAACTCTTCTCCACATTAAAACCATGACAAGAAACAGATTGAACGTTGACGAGGATATGAGATTGGCATGATCACAAACGCAGCATCGTAAGCAGATTTGAGATCTACAACAATCGCACTGAACGAGTTGTTGGCTGTTGTTAACATAGTATTTTGAAATAAAACGAATAACTAAGAAATCAAATGAATGGTTTTTATTCATCTCAGCGTACAAGGTACTTTTCAGGGAGCTGCGGAGCACCCAATCGTTCATAAAGGGGGTCGCGGAGCTGAAAAGGAAGGGAACCACTGCTATAATACCTCTATAAAGCTAGCAATGTTACCTGGGTATTTACGGAGAAAATAAGGGAATACAAATTTTTAACACCTGAAGCCGTATTACCAACATTTACTAACGATTTGAAATTGGCTCACTACTTGACTAGCCTATTGGTCCCAAGCAAACGATTAACGCAACCCATTCTAGTCGGAATTATAGTACTACACCATTTTTTTTTGTTTATCTATGAAAGTTTGATAGATAAAATGAGGAGTTCGCGGATTTTCCCATGTTTCGAGGGGTGCATCGATTAGCTTGGGACCGAAGATAGTACCAGAGCTGAGCCAAAAAGTTGAGCACGTTTCTTCGTGACCTACTAGTCTTAGAGTTACCTCTATGATATTACCTTTGTTATCATTTCGTATAACTAAGGGTTTAAGATTGGATTCAAAAAAAATTTCCTCTGCGACCAATAGCCATCCACACAAGTTATGTCACATGTATAAGACATTCCCAATCGATAGAACTTAATTCGCTCTAACTCAACAGTTCGATTACGACATCGTAGAATCAAATTGAATATGAGAAATCGATTCAGCAAGAAGAAATTTGATGATGCAGGTGTGGAAGCTGCCTTCCTGCACATGCGGTTGCCGTCAATGGATGGCAATCGATGTCCGTCGGTGATTGGCACTAGATTGCGGAACAGAGACCGACGTTAAGTAAAGGAAAAAAAAAAGATAACAAATTAATATTCTGATTCAGGTTGATGTTATCCATTCGTCATCTTGTCACTCCCAAATTTGTTTACTCAATTTTGGGTAGCCCTACTTTTGACGGATATGAGTAAATCCTACTCAAAATTGGATTGTTTAGAAATAGCTAAATGGTTGAACTCTTGGCGAATCTAGAACCGCACTACCGTTCATACTGTAACCGTTTGGTCACAAGTTCATAGTGCAAGAACAGCAGTATACCACAGAAGTGATAGGGTTCTGTACCGCTGTGAAAATGTTGTGCCGTTACGTTATGTTCACCATAGAGCTACCATACAAAACCAGGATGACGGGCTGAAGGAAAATTGGGAGAAAGAACGGCCATTGCCCAAAATCGGCCTCTTTAAATATCAGACGTCTGTGTGCAAAGACGCATTTTAATTAACTAAGTGCAGTGGTTGCTGTTTTTGAACGAGAATCAGGACGCCCCCCTAGCAGCAGCTAGTGTGCGCTAGGGAAATTTAACGTTCAGGACCTCTTTTATGTTGGTCCTTAAAAAGGTCATCCGTCAGCACACGGCCGGCTCGTGAAATTGGAAACAGCCCAACTAACAATTTTAGCTGCAGATTAGCTTATACAGCCACAAATTGGCTTATACAGCTAATTTTTGCCTGCAGCTAAAATTGTTTGTTGGGAGTTTCCGAGCCTAATTGTCAAGGACCAAACACTATTATCTGGCCAAACGTAGGCCATAATCCCACAGGAGTTTTCCCTTCTCGGCTTGACCAAGGTGGCTTTGCCACGATCGGCTGATCGTGCCAACGAAGGACGACGCCTGCCATCCCACCGTTCAGCAACGCCCGCTGGCCCGTCATCCGCTCGCTCCGCCAATCTATCGAGAGTTCCGGCCGCACAGTAGGACAGGAGTCACTGTGTCGGCCATCCTGATTAACCATCAACGGCAGCAGCGGTATGTACCGGTACAGTGAACAACGCGATTAGGCTACACGACACATATTACACGAAATTATGAACACAGAACAACACGCACATAATACAGAAAGTGGCAAATAAATGCGTTTAAAGAAAAGTGAAAGTTCTTCGTTTTTGTATCGCGAAACCCTCTGATTATCCGGTAGTTAGCCGACCCTGGGTGTTCCGGAGCTTGTTCTTGTCGCGTGAATCGACCGGGTGCTGTATATTTGATCTCCGAGTAGGTAGCTGGTGAGTGCTGAGTTCTTACATCAGTTATAATACAGACGACAACGCTCTGATGAGACAACGAAACACCACCCCCAAGCTACTCCCCTGATTCTATACTTCGACAATGTGCCCCTCTAACCTCGGGTAAGCCATGAGTATTCGGCCCAACTTCTACTAGACATAGAAATAAGTGAATTTTGATAAAAACAATGAATTATTGGCTCCGTACAGCTAACGCGATTGAGCCTTCTCAATAAACGAACTAGATAAAAAAAGAACTGATACCTACAAATATAACCAAAGCGTGGACAACCAGAAATATAGGAAGGCTCAGCATGCATTATTCCGAAGACAACATCAAGTAGACTGGCAACCATTTTCTCATACGAACGCTATGAAACAGGTACAATCGCGTCATCTGCCGCTCAAAAGTAAATGCTTCGAACGAATTTGATAGCAAAGATTACATCCTCAGAAGAAAAGTTTGTGTATTTGCTCATTTTTCTATGCGTTACTGCCACCTTCACTCAAGCGCAGCGTTACTGTATCTGACGCTTGGATTCTGGCAAAGTTGCCACAGTCTTCTTGATATTAAGCCTTCGATTATTCGCAGTTAAAATGTTGATGCATACATTCTGATATGCACAATCATATACGACTTGCAAATTTTTCCCTTGGTGATATTCGTGAAATATTGCGAACTTTTCCAACGCTGATAGGATGTACAGATTAGCTAGAGACCTACCACATGTATTCAAATTTATGAACTTATAAGTGAAGAAGAGGGTATGCTTGAAGTCACGAGTTAAATGAGCCCGTATGATTGATGCAACCAATGGAACATTAACAGGAGAGTTTCGGATGAAATGACGATTCCCGGCAGCTTTTATTAAAAATATAAACATATATTTTCAATGTACTTATCTGTTTTTCTTCCACAAGTTTCACCATAAACTTGTAGTTTACACTTACCGCGGAGGGATACGCTAAAAAATGCGTTCTCCTTTTATTTTTATCCCTCCAAAATATATGAAAGAAGAAAACATCTACTAATATTATTAAAAACAAAATCGATAGTACTCTCGGTAATTGGAGAAGATTTACATACAGATATATAGACAGAACTCGAGTTAGTTGAAGAAAAGATCAATACGAACGCCCAAAAATTTACAAAATAAGGACAGTTTAATTTGTTCTACAATACATATATTGCAACGGATTAGTGAAATTAATTTCTGACGACACCGAACGTTTTATATGGTTCTATTTCTTGGTAAAAAGGCAGTTTTAGAATTCCGTTGTTTGAGCAACTAAGAGATGTTCAAAATAGTACTGACTGCATTGCTGTATTGACGGAAACGATGGGGGAAAACAAGTGTTAACGGAGGAACATCCACTCTGCTGGATTTATTTCTAATGCTATTTTGTAGCAACAACAAATTTCTGCTTAAAAAAGAAAGAATGGTAATCTGTTTCTGATAGGTTCTGCATACGCTGAAGGCACATCCGTTTTTCAGTTGCATTCTCCTTCACTCGTCGTGCACACTTTGCTATCTTTGGTTGGGGCCGATCAATTTTCAATTCAAACCTACGACAATGGTCGACGCCCAACACTGACTTATTCGCTAACAACTAAAAAAGTAGTGAAATAGGAAACAGTGATAATTTACCTGCTAAGAGCACTCCAGTTTCCACTGCTTCTTCCCTTTCCCTCACTTCCTATAAAATAAGAAACCCTTTGTGAGGTAAAAACATTTTTGAAATGTTTAAACCTCCACGAAGGAAATGAATCTGATTGCTGAAGTTCATTTTATAAATAGATTGCGATTAAAAAGTGGAACCCTTATATGCTAAGAAATAATGCACAACTATTCTATATCTCCAGGATATAAAAATTATCCGTGTAAAATCAAAAACAAAAACGCTTCATTTTCCCCTCGCCGGAGCGAAGGAAAAGTTTGAATGTTGTTAGGGGGGGTTGCACCTCCGGTGGATTCACACCGGTGGAGGTCCCTTGATGTAGCGCAACTGAGGCGTAAAACTCATCGAGTACGTATTGAGGGCATCGCAGCAGTGCGGTTCGAAGAAACACGCCGCACACATTACCAGAACCAGCGCCAGCTGGACCGGGACGGCGATCTTGGTGATGCGCCAGACCCAGCGATTCTGAGACAGTTTCAATTTGGTGGTCTGAATCAGACCCAATTGGGCGGTAGTGGCATGCTGGATGTGATCCTGGTGCTGGTGCTGCTGCTGATGAGTTAGAGTTTCCGTTAGCCCATCCTGGTGGAGGCGACTTTCTTCCGAATCCGTTTCGTCCAGTGACTGAACTGAACGGGACTTGGATCGGTCCGATTTAGACGGGCTGGAGTTACGATTTTTCTTGCTGGAAAGTAAAAAAACACATTTGAGCACCTTGATTTTGATTGCCAGCTTGTCGATGACAATTACCTTCCCTGCTTGTTCCTGTTCTTATTCTTCACGCTCGCATCGTTGTTATTGCTGCTGCTTTCCCCATGATCGCTTTCGCCTTCGTTCCGACTGCCGGTACCATCGCCCTTCTCGTTCATGATGATCTTCCGGCAGGTGTTCTGCAGCGAGCGCAGGTCATGCTCGGCCATCTCCAGTCGCTTGGTGATCGTCTGCATGGCTTCACTTCCCGGAGCGAGGGCCACTTCCAACTGCTTGACCAGCCTCTTCAGCGCGCTCAATCGCTTCTCCCGCTCCGATAGGCTGCCATCAGACATGCCACCACCATCGGAAATGCCACTATCAGAAAGAGAACCACTCGACGAGAGCTTAAGATTGACCGGTATGGATATATTATGCTCCTGTTGGCGGATTAGAATTAAAAAAAAAACACGCAAATTAGAATATTTCCCCCAAATTGCAGCGAGCATCCGAATCAGTACCTGAAAAAGCGGCTCAACATTTTCGGACAGAGCTTTAACCACTTCCTTGACACTATTGACCATTTCGTCAGTCCTTCCGGCCCCGCTTTGCAGGGCCCCTTCGATCCCCTGAAGTTTCCCACGATCACGGTCCAGGATATCCTTGAAATCGCTCAAACCGTCCTCCAGCTGCTTCCACGTCATCATCGAGCTGGACAGTTTTTCGATTCGGTTCCTTATCCTGGAATTTTCGAAATCATTAATATTATACTAGTACTAAATAGGTAAATAGGGTTCAGGGTATCCATACCTCACTTCCGCCTCATCCCATGTGCTGTACAGCAGACTGATGCCATCCTTCATGTCCCGGTTGATGGTGCAATCCTCGCGGAGCTCGTTCAGACAATCGTAGCAAGCACCACACTTGTGGTCCGCACACTTGGTGACGTTCTTGTCCCGGTCGAGCTGTTCCATTTTGGCGTCGATCGACGAATCGTCCAGAAGTTCCTTCCGCTGCAGCTCCTGGGCCGAGACCCAGTTGTGTACGGTGGCATTGAGCGTGAGCATCTTGGGACGCTGGTTCTGCAGCACCTTGCGTTCATTCTGCAAGGCAAGGAGGAGACAATTTGTTTGAAGTCGTTATTGAGTGATTGGATGACCGAAGGTTATTATCTGATGCGATCTTCTCCGATTTGCATGAAACTTTGCATAATTGTTTGTTATGGTCAATCATTAGGCAAAAATTCGGCCATTTTGAATCAAAATGGAGTATTCGATGTTTATCAACAAATCATAACTCGAAAACGAGACAAAGCAGTAGGAAATAATATATCCTTTTCAGGAAAAAACGGTTAAAAATTCAAGTAATTTTGGGTGAAATATCCAAACAGTGTTAAAAACTTAATTTGAAAAAATATATTTTCAAGAAATTAATTTTTTTTAACAATGAAAAATTTTGTGACACAGTGCGGAAATTAACTTAAGAACAGTCTTGTAAGCGGTCACGGTAGTCGACAGATTTTCTGTGACAATCGACTGCCTTTGCTTCCGACACTTGCAAAACAAGATATCAAATAACAGTACCAAACTAAAATGTCATATGACAGGCTCTGGCAAACGACACTGCCGCCGAAGGCCGTCATGAATGTATGTATTTCAGTTTTTTCTCATAATAAGAGCTGCTGATGTTTTGCTTGTGGGAATTCTGAAAATAGCAAGCAATAATTTCCTAGTAATAACATTTCTGATCAGAAATGGTTTAATTTACACCAAATTGAGGAATTAGAATGAAATCACACATGTCATATGATAGTTATTTGATAATTTTCTTTTTGCTCGAATGTTATTCTACCATTTGTGATTTATTAGAGAGACGACGGAAGAGCATGAGTGTACCAATACAAACAGACTGTCGCGCACAACAATGAAGCGAGTGAAGTAAAAACGTCAACCGTTTCAAGCCCTGCTTAAGAAATCCATAAGGCATAACTTATGAAGCTGAACAATTTTGATTTCATAAGACACATTTGAATTCTACAAATAAGCACGACTTATGAACTATCGTAATGTAGTTTTAGTGGGTATTTACGCCAACCCTCAACTCAGTGTTCTAGTTGAAGTTCCACAGTTCCACATTGATAGCTTTCTAAGCCTGTACCATTTTTGCATTAGATAATTGCGTGAGAAGAACAATCATACTCTATGCCAAGGGAAGTCGAGAAATGTTTCAACCCGAATTTTTTCTAATCAGGAATCGAACCAAGCCGCCTTAAAAATAACCTTGCTTTTTAGCTGCGCCTTTACCAACTGAGCTGAGGGGGAGGCTCCAAGATCAAACTTATATTTTGCTTAATAAATCCAAATGGTGAAAAATGATAAATGGGTCTTATTGAATTTTTAAGCTTATATGAGCATAGTACCGAAAGCCGAAGGGATCGCTTGGTTGAATGGGTCAGTACTAATTACAGGATTTTATTCAAATATTCTCAAACATTTCCATTAGAAGCCTTTCCATACACAGAGTTTATTTCAGAATTCTTTTAAAATAAGTTTGAGATTCTCTTTGGAAATCCATTGAAAATTTCTTTATATTAGTCCAGAAATTCTCTGCAAATCAATTCAAAAAATAACATGGAGTTCTTAGATTTTCTTCAAATGAAAAAGCTTTTTTGTAGAAATCCGCTGAAGCTTACTTCCATAATTCTATCTCAAATTTGCTAGAATTCTGTTTAGAATTCCTAAGCAATTCTTCTCTTGGAGTTCTCCTTTGAATTAGTCTGAAATTCCTTAAAATTCAGTAGACATTCTTTTCGTGATAACCTCGGAATTATCCTTGGAATTTCCTTAAAATTATTATCAGTGTTGCGTGCACCCTCGTGCGACGCCACACCTACTAATCTACCTCATTGATGCAGCGGCGCCGCGTTGAAGCTGACAGCGGAATAATGGCCATGCGGAGCTGTCCATATGAGAAGATAAAAGTGCAAATCACGCTTGCTGATCGTTCCTAAAACTTATCTTTGGAACATAAATTTAAATATCGCAATTAATCCTACTTTAAATTAGTTATAAATTTGTTTTCACAATCATTATTGCACTATGAGGTGAGGAATTTACAATTATACTGTGAATTTTTTAACTAAACATTGAACGTTGAATATAAACACATTTAGGTTCACCTCAAGGGGTAATCAACTCTGCACACTGTGCCGAAGGACAGGATGGCACACTGTTTGGCACGTTAAGGACACGTTGACAAGTATGTCACGAACACTATTATATAAAGCGGCAACACTGTTGAGCGATGAAGTTTTTCTAATCGATTTACCCGTTGCTAAGGTTTGCTTACTTCAAAATGAAAACAAATATATCCGTCAATACAGGTCAATACTAGGGATGGAGAGTAAATAATCGGATCATCGATAAGGGCCGATATCGGATATCGTACATAGTAAGAATTTAGAATGAATTATCATTCAATTAATTCTACGCAGTCAAATTAAGAATATCGTCCGTTAATAGTATTTCCATTTGCATGAATATTTACATCCGCAACAACATTCGCATTGCAACATGCAAATTTTATGTGGATGTGACAAATATTGTAAAGAATATACTTTACAAAAGATCAAATTTTACAAGGGTTACGTGATCCGATCCATTGAAAAGAGTTGGTTGGAAATGCTATCTAATATGAAGCTTCAGTGTGATAATTTATTAACTAGAGAATGATCTTTAGAAGAGGGTAGGTGGATAGTTCCGTTAGAGTACGGCAGTATAAAAATTGAATAGAAGTTGAAAATGAACGAAGGGCCATTAATGCGACAGTACAAAGTCAAACGCACACCTTTTGCCTAACCCGTGAAGATTTGAAGTATGTCTTCAAATGTACAGGCAAAAAGTGTGCGCCCGCCTTTGCTTATTACTGTATGCAGCTGTGGAATAGTTCTAGCGACGTTTCATCCTACGGCCCTTGAAAATATCCGGATCATCTAAATTAATGAACCGGTTCTGAGTCGATTACCTAAGTGATCCGTTGTGTCCATCTCTAGTCAATACTGGAGACACAGTGATTTATATTAGAATCTAAAAAATTGCAAGAGATGTACCAAGCTAGGAACCGTTTCTAAAATGGAAGAGGCATGGGATGAGCTCAAAAGTGCTGCTAAATTAAAAAAAAATACGAAATATTAGTTTGAAAGTCACTCATCAGATGTTGCTGGTGTGTGACGAAAAGTTCGTTTCATCAATTTGTATAGCCTATAGCTTTCGTGATCTTGATTAGTTAGAAAGATGTGGTTTTCGGCAATGTTGTGCACGAGGCTACAAGACCATTTAAACTGTGGATAGTTTAGTTCGGGATTCTGTCTTAAGTAATCTGAAGAACTTAGCTTACTTACAAGATCATCATCACAAAATCCTTGCCATATTCAAAGTTGCTGTTTTCTGCAGTTTTGTTAGACTAAGATCTTTTGAATCTTGGACATTTTTGTTTAGATTTCTCTCACAAGATGGTTCTAGTATTCTGATATGCTTCGTGTACTTGCAGGTTCGATATATCAAGATCCTGGCTATAATCAAAGATAATGTTTTCTGTAATTTAGTTCAGGGAGATTTTCTCACTGGGGGGGCACTAGTTTTCAGGAAAACTTCGTGTTCAGGCAGGTTCGATATCTCGAGATTCTTGCTATATATAAGAATGCTGCTTTCTGTGATTGGGTAAGATTTTTTGAGTTGTGAAGAATTTAGTTTGAAATTATCTCACCAGGTGGCTCTATCATTCTGGTAAACTTGGTGTACTTAAAGGATCAACATCTCAAGATTCTTGCTGTATGCAAGGATTCTATGTTCTGCAATTTTGTTCAGGAGAGAAAGACTTTTTGAATGGCGGACAGATTAGTTAGGGTTTCTTTCACTAGGTGACTCAAGTGTTCTGGTAATCTTCGTATACTTGCAGGTTAGATGTCTCAAGATCCTGGCTACATTAAAAGGTGACCTTTTGAATTGTGGAGAGTTTAGTTCGAAATTCTCTCATTAGATATTGCAATATACAAGGATGCTGTTTTCTGCATTCTTGTTCAGGAGGCTATGATTTCTGGAATTGTGGGCAGTTTACCTCTGAATTGTCTCACTAGGTATCTCTAGTGTTCTGGAGAACTTAGTGTACTTACAGGATCAACATCTCAAGATCCTCCAAGTTGCTGTTTTCTGCAATTGTGTTCACTTGACTAAGACCTTTTGAACAGTGGAGAGTTTAGTTTAGAATTCTCTCAGTAGATGGCAGTAGTGTTCTGGTAATCTTCGTGTACTTGAAGGTACAACGTCTCAAGAACCTGGCTATATTTAAAGTTGTTGTTTTCTGTAATCTTGTTCAGGAAACTAAGAGGTTTTGAATGGTGGATAGTTTAGCTCGGAATTCTCACACTAGGTGGATTTAGTGTTCTGGTAAACTTCGTGTACTTGCATGATCAACATCTCATGATCCTGGCTGCTTTTTTCTAGGATGTTGTTGCTTAGAACTTTAGAATTGGGGACAGTGTATATCGGAATTCTCTTACTAGGTGGCTCTTGAGATAACTGTATGTACTTACAATACTGACATCTCAAGATCCTGGATATACATAAGGTTATTGTTTTCTGCAATTTTGCTCAAATGTTTACAATTATTACACGTAATGCGCTGTCCAAAACGCATATGACCACCCCTTGAATGGATTTATGTTCGATTGTCAAATCCAATTTGACGTGAGATTTTGACATCCAGTTGTTTTTGACGTAGGAATACGTCTGTGATTTCTAAATGGGAGAACACTTTGTGAAAACCGAAAATGGAACATGTAACAAAATTGTGAAAGATTTTGAACGTTAATAACTAAATTTAAAACTTTATAATTTTTCAAAATTTCATGTGCAACTGTTGCTATGATAATTAAAATTATCACCGATTGCCTGCGAAAAGCGATTTCCCTAACACGGATTTCAAAGTTGAATTCTATCCGGTGTCACCAAACGGTGTTTATTCAATCACCGCGTGGTGAGTGTTGGTGTTCTCCAGTACACAACGATAGGCTGCCTGCTAGCAGCGAGCTGCAGCCCACATCTTCTTCTTCTTCTTCTTGTTCGCATTTCAAGCTTATTGCTTAGCGCATATTAGCTTATTGCGTGCTCTCAACTTAGTGTTCTAAATGCACTTCCACAGTTATTAATTGAGAGCTTTCGATGCCAATACCAATGCATGAATTTGCATATTGTGTGGCAAGCCGGACCGGACCGGGAATCGAACCCGCCACCTCCGGCTTGGTAATACCGTGCCTTTTACTGACTAGGCTATGAGGCCCCTTGCAGCCCACATGACCATCCATATAAGGAGGAAGAAGCCGCACCGCTATTGATCGGAATCAGTAGCTCTTCGTGAGTTGCTGTGGGCCATGTATGTCAAGCGCGTCATACTAAAAAGTATACACAGAGAGAACCCCGCTCAAATTTCTATTCCTACACAAAACACAAGCTCCTGCTGCAGTTAACAAATAAGATTTATTATATAAGACCACGTAGTCCTACGTCACCATTGCGTACAACCCCATAGGACTGTCCCTTGTAGTTTTTAATTGGGTTATGACCCAACCAGCGAAATGCGACTGTAGGGGAAACGCACCAGTATTGGTCATGTTCCTCCACCTTTTGACAATATTTCACGTTGTTTACAATTTTGTGATGTTCAGTTGCGTTCAGTTTGTTGATACAAATCATATTCATCGGTGTACATAAACATTTCGACCACAAAATGCATGAATATTGTAATTGAATCGTTTTTCTGAGGTGTGGCCAAAATAGAAACCTATGGCCAATACTGGTGTACTTCCCATAGTGGTTCTCAAAATTTCGTAAAAAAATAGTATATTAGTTCCTTATATCAAAATATTAAACTCGTATTTTTTTATTTTTTTATTAGGGTGACCATTTCCATGTTTTTGTGGTCCAAACAAATTTTTTTTTTAATGGCTTTTACCAAAATTTATAACATTTGAACCACAGACAAACAGACATAACACTCGCAAGTTGTTCATCGAACAAGCATTTAACGGTCAATTCAAAAGTATCGTAGTTGGTAGTACCGCCACCTGTGGCGCGCATAGTCAATTCCCTTGCGTTTGACGTTTACACACTACCGCCATCTGTTCAGCGTACTACCCACCACAGTGTACTCAACAGATGGCGGTAATGTTTTAGCGACGATGTTTTACATTGAGAAATATTCAATGTGTTATGTCTGTTTGTCTGTGTTTGAACCATCAAATGAAAGGTAATTACAACTTTTTATCAAAAAAAAATAGATTCTGTATTGAAAACGTTGCTGTACTCGTTTTTTACTGTTTTAATGGTTTTTAGACAGAAGGCGCAATATGTTTTTATATTTTTCTTTAAAATTTAGGATTTTTAACGCTACATTAGAGTTGCGCCCTATCACAATCACGGTCGTCAAACAGCTGATGGTAGTTACACTTGGTACATTCCTATCAATGCTCTTGACGAAGCACTCGCCATGACCATCCATCGAATTGACGAAAGAAGTGAAAAGCAACTGGTGAATGTCGTCTTCGGTGGTGATCCATCACCGATCTGGTCATTCCCGACAATCACGACAATCAACTGTGCTCGTTTTGAACCAGTTGCTGCTTTGCTTGCTTATGTGAGTGTGTTGGTGAGTGAGCCCAACAGCTTCCGTTTAATTTTGTCAGCTTTGTTTGTAACTCACACAGTCGCGCCTGTCCAAACGAACTTGGAATGCGTAGGCATTGTTTTCATTTTCTTCTGTCGTTTCGTTTCTTCTCATCGCTGTACTACAGAAGTCTTCACTGTTTTCGTTGTGCTTTGCATAATCAGCGGCGAGTGTTTCGTTTTCCCTGTGAGCAGCGACCATTACTGGTGATTGTTGTTTTCCATGGCTCAACCTCTCAACGCGGGACAAAACGTTCTGTCAGCGATAGTCGGTTGATGCGTTGACGAATGTAGCGTGAGTGTCGTAATAATTTGTATCACTGCACTACATATCAATAAATCAGCGATGTATTATTATTTTCGATTTTGAGTTATATTTTTCTATCTTCTATCAAGTTTTGGGTTTTCGCTCAATACTCCTTTGCGACTAGACTACCATGCGAAAATAGGAAGACTATGTCAGCTATGTATCAATGGAGACGCATGGTAGTCCAGTCGCATAAAAATGTTGAGCTAAAACTCAAAACTTGAAAGCTTAAACAAATATAATAACCTTTCATTTGATATTTGATCTTAGAAATCGGCCGAAATCAATATAAACAAATATAATTGGGTTCTTTAAGGGTAGTGAGGTAAATGCATACTCGTAATCTGCATTAAAAATGTAACAAAAACCCAAAATTTCATCAATTTTGGTACAGTGGAACTATTTTAAATAAGTACGATTACATTTTCAAAAATCACCTTATGAGCACCCCTCGGTGTCACTTTGTATGGGAGAGAGCTGTCAGTTTGTTAGTTTAGTGTCAAACAGTGAAGTTATTATTTTGCTTTAAATCTGATTTAAAAATCGAGATGAATGTGTGTGTGTTCGAAAAAATTATCGCTGTGCTCAGAAAACGAAGCTCTTTGATGATGTATAAAAAACGATAATTTTTTTCAAAATTAAAGAACCCAATTGAACTAAATAAACTAATATACACTCAAGTATTTTTTACACAGTTTTTTTTACACTGTTGACACCGCTGAGTCGCAATTTACACGGAACGTTTGGAACGCTTTCTCGATAACGATACAACCTATCAACTTGATTGATCAGAATAATCAGAAACATGACTGTAAGCGTTTTAACATGGAATGTCAATTCTATCAATACCAGCAGTAGTTGAAAACAAAAGTAAATTCTCATCACCTTTTATTTACATTTCAAGTTCAGTGTTTTAACAAACAACACCCCCAATTTACCGACCATTACAGACGAGGGCTTATCAGCGGCGGTGGCTCAATATCCGAAGTAGTGAACAACACGCCATCCGTCGCCCTAACCTGGCACTGATCATAGACCATGAAAAAAGTAAACAACCAGCCGTAAAAAATGGAAATAGTTTCACATTCAGCACCAGCATCATACATGACTGCCTGCACTGACGCAAATGTTTTAATATTTGTTTTATCTTCACGGAAACCTACCCGAAATTGCATCACACCTGTATAAACAACACACCTACGCGGTCAAAACCCTTTCCCTTTACGCGATCCGTAAACACTTAGTGCCGGACAGGAATGCGATCAAGTCGTTTACTAATTACTTCGATGTTTTTTTTTCTCCCTCACTCGTAAACCATTAAGGAGCTCGTCTAGGAAATTGATTATCGTAAAAATACCGCCACTAATGGCATCATTTTGCAACACATTCCTATTTTAGTCTGCCTCGAGTCAAGTGCATCTGCTTAGTTTCAGCACGCCAACGAAGAAATTTGAAGAAAAAAAAAAAACGAAAATAACGGCGCTTGCCAGTTTGATCCCTTGACCTTCACCTTCTTGAATAATTCTACTTTCTTCTGACCCCCCCTTATCAATCTCGAATAATACTTAAAGCAAATAAAACAACACTCACCTTCAGCTGATCGATGGCCAACTGTATGTGTGCCTCCGAGGAGAAATCGAACGCCTTGCTGCCCAGGTCTTCCAGAACATCCTTCAGGGATTGAATTTTCTCCTGGAATTGGGTCGTAATCTGTCGCCGTTCGCCCCAGCTCAGCAGCTTCTCCCAGCACAGGATGGTATCTACGGCGGAACAAGAGGAAGGAAATTGATCACCACATTTATGTCATCGCTCTGATTAGTTTCCAATTTGGCACAATCGATTTCGAGATTTAGAATGATTTTTATGTTATGCGATCGTCAAGTGTAGGTAGCTACCAGCTAATCGGTCCGTCTGTACTCCGGCGTGGCTTTTCTGCACCACCCTCCGGGTGGTGGTCGTGGTGGAGATGCTGATCGATTCTTGATGAATCGATTTGAATTGTGATATTTTTTTCATACTGACAGTCGATTGAAATTTAGCCAACAAACTTGATCGCGGTTCTCCGTCATAGTAAAGAGTGTCGTGTGTCGCAGCGCGCGCGCGGTTCGAACGTAAACACTAGACTACACACGGGCGAAAACTTCCGATCGAACCTACTACCAAAGCCGTAATAGGCTGTGCACTACTACGGACAGCAAAATGCTCAAACACAGTCAATGCGATGTGATCACGCTTTTTTTTTAAACAAAGTAGACGTAGTATTTGTGCTGACTAGATCGGATTTTTTATTCCATCAGTTTGTGCAATTCCCACGACGACGGGGATGATCATCGTATTAGGCGCCGTTTTTCAAAGGGGAAGAATAATAATACACAATCACTAAATCATAGTCGCCCCTCACGACAGTCGAAAGCCGCAGGTTTATGCGTAACCATAGCAACCCGGCGCCGAAGCGGAAAGAGAAACGGCCAGCCAGAGAGCGCGAGAGTGGAAAATGCGTTGCAGACGTACGCACGTGCCAGCTAAACTACCTAACAATGTTCTCGCCAGATGTGACCATTAGGGTAACGTCGCCGTCGTCGGCATAAGTGTCTTAAAAGCCTCAGTCTAAGCACTACTAAACTATAATACTAGGTCGCTTTTGATATCGAAAAACATGACTGTGCGAGAGATGCGAACCACATCGCTCGTTGACTGCTTGCTGTGTGGTGTTCAAAACGTGCTCGGAGCTTCAAATGGGAACGCGATATGTATCAATTACGGTTACAGGGTTGCAGATTCTGGCGGGCGCGGGTCTTGCTCGGGAGTTGAAAAAGATCATTGCAGACTTTCAGGTACGATTTTCTTTGAAATGAAATCTTCATATATATTAATTATGTGATGTGGTCGTCAGAAGGTGTTACATCCATTTTCAAGAACAACAGTTGCAGCGCATCTATCTGCAAAAAATATCGATAGAACTTACCAAAAGTAATCCAAAATTTTCTTAATCTAATACGTATGAAATTATTTGATTAATTAAAATAAGACTGAGATCTACATAATAGTGCATCATATTTCTTAACAAAAATACGATAAATGCTATGACTTTCCTTTTGGAAACCGTTACCCGTAATCACTACAGCCCTGACACCAACAAAAAAAAACCTCTTGAATCGTCCACCAGCAGCGAGAAAAACTGATATGAAAACCAGAAACCCTAAATATTTAGCATACTCCAAATTAATCTTCCCACTCAATCAAAAGCGAATACATAAACAATCACCACTGTTGCAATGCTACGTCGAAAAATTCACTTTCACATCTCTATCTCCCTCTCTCTGTCCGTTTTACTTCTGCACTTCATAGCAACAAGCTTTATTTTGGCACGGCCTACTGCACTTTACGACAATTCAACTACGTCGCGACCCAAGATACAAACAAGCTGCACGTGCTATCTCTGTGTCAAGGTCGTTGCTATTTCATTCACACTACTTGCATCCAAGTTGCGTATTTTCGAATCGCACGCACCATGGCAGCGAGTGATGAATCACTGATTAGTAGGATCGTTTTCCACTACACGGTTCCACTCTGGTTAGCTAAAATCTGTTTGTGCAACATTCAAATAGTGCTTAATATGTGAATAATTTAAAACTTCCACCTATTCACAGAGAGTAATCGAATTACAACGTTTCGACGGCCGTAGTGGTAAGTGATGACATCATAACTGATACAAGTCCAATTCACTATAAAAGGGGGCGTCTGGTGCCTGATTCTATTGGATGACGTTTAGTATCCCGACGAAAGAACACAACACCATAGAATCGGCGACAAAGAATGGACATGCGCACATACCTGCTGTCCAACTATGCCTTTTACTTCTGCTTTCCCATTGAGTGTAGGTCATTCGGTTGGGATGAATCATCCGCGAATCGGTGCGATGACCGAAAGGGTTGAGACTTAACTTTGCAGGGTTGAGGACCATTGACCAAATCGATACTGGTATTGTCTTAGATTAGTGTTTGATGTGACCTACTTTTAGATTTCCCTAGGAAAAAAAAATCTTATATCACTCTTGAATGGTCATGAAAGTGTGGAAAGGACAAGAACGGACTTATTAGGATAGGTCAAGAACGTCACGAAACAACTCGCTCAAAAGCGCTACTGTATAGGAACGAACCCATAAACCTTCACAAAAATGAAATCAAAATGATAACAAATCATATACTTTATTTCATGGAAGTACATTGACTTTTAAAATATGTATTTTAGGGTTTATACTACTGATTCCCCAGCCGTTTCACGCCATATGACGAATAGGAAAAACTTGACCTTTTCCGAGACGAAACATCGTATTTGGCCTGAAACTGATCTCTATAACAACATAATATATAACATAAGAATTTTAATTATTTTAATGTGTGTTTTGGATCCTACATTTGCTTCTACATATCCTATATTCACTGCAGAATCCAACATAACACCCAACCGTTAAAAGCATCGTAAAAGGAGCTTGGCCAGCCATCTTAGAGAATAGTACTCCAAGTACACAGAACATAGAATATGAATTAGAAGGGATAAATAGAAGTACCGTCCGTTTTTTTAGTGCCATTAATTTCTTCTGATGCCTGTGAGAGGAAAGTATACAAAGTCTGGGTGAATTTTAGGATCCAGTCGAAATTTCAAGATGGACAAATGTTCACGTATATTTTGCTCTAAACTCATGCTTGTTTTGATAAAAAATATACGTTAGAACATTGAAAGTGAACTGTTTATTTTTTTCTTTATTTGTTTTCCGTCGATCTTGTTTTCCGTGCTGAGCACCAATGCTACCGACGCCAGGTAGGTAGCTCCCACACCTGGGCCCTACCCATCAACTCATGAACCGGGAACCAGTGGCTTCACTTCCCTTCGAAAGGAAGGCAAGATCAGAGATGTTATGCCTCAGAACATCCCGGCAACACCGACTTGGATTGAACCCAGGCCTGCTGGGGTGAGAAGTAATCACGCTTACCATTACACCACCGGTGCCGCTGAAAGTGAACTGTATTTAATTAAATTAACATCGGTTAACATGTGTGCCCATAGCTTATTAATAAGTTTGCTTCTAAACAAATTTCAACTGCTCTAGTCATTTATCAAAACATCGAACCCTCAGCTCAAGGTATTTTTTTCTTAATATTTAAGTAAGATGTAAAATCGGTTTTATCTTATGATGCAGTGCTACTGGATCAAGAATACCTTAAATATAATTATTCCTGGAATAACACTCTCATAAGTTTGCTTGAAATACGTTGAAAACAACCACCAAGTGAGCAAAATATGGAGGGGACCAATTTATGGGATCGTTACCCTACCCCCAGGGAATTGATATTTTAAGTCATTCAAATATCCTTCGTGAATATTGTTACGCAGATACCATATTTGTTAAAGGAGCGCCCCTTCTTTTACTCCAGGAGCAAATTTTCATTACGTCGGAAGTAACAAATGTAAACAAAGTCGAGCTATCAGTGTCAATCGAAGCTCCTGCTATTATACTATATACTGTCCGAATATGGGATCACATCCCCTTTGTTAATTTATTTACCAGTCAAATTACTTTTTGACGTAATCACCTTCCGATCAAAATATTTTTCAATGTTACTTAAGTCACCAGATTTCTATGGAGATGCACTTCAATAACAGCGCAGAGAAACCTGTGAAAAATGTACGTTCGTCGTTTCGCTTTCTCATTATTAAAGTGAATTAATCGAACTGTTTGTTGCTAAGATGATTTTGGTTGTCTTAAAATGATGAATAGGCTGCACGTAAGGAGACGTGATTGATAAAGGGTGATACGGTCAAAATTTGGTCAATATCAACTTGACGTATTTCTTTCAATTTTGCATTTAAAAAACCTGAACACCCCTCATTTTGAAGGTGTGTGTGTGTGTAGAATGTTGCTCCTATTTTGATTTTGGAATTCACTCTTCAGTTGTCAAAATGCCGTCCAAGCAAGAAGAGCAGCGTATCAAAATTTCGCTCGCGCATCGCGAAAATCCGAGCTACTCGCACGCAAAGTTGGCAAAATCGCTAAAAGTTGCCAAATCAACCGTTACAAATGTAATTAAAGTGTTTGGGGAACGTTTGTCGACAGCCAGGAAGTCTGGATCGGGGGGAAATCGAAAACCGGAAGCCGCTGAGACGACAAAGAGAGTTGCCGGTAGTTTCAAGCGAAACCCTAACCTCTCTCTCCGAGATGCCGCAAATAAGCTGGGTGTATCGTCTACAACCGTGCATCGAGCCAAAAAACGAGCCGGACTATCGACTTACAAGAAGGTAGCGACTCCAAATCGCGATGATAAACAAAATACGACGGCCAAAGCGCGATCCCGGAGGCTGTACACGACGATGCTGACGAAGTTTGACTGCGTGGTAATGGACGACGAAACCTACGTCAAAGCTGACTACAAGCAGCTTCCGGGACAGGAGTTTTATACGGAAAAAGGAAGGGGAAAGGTAGCAGATGTTTTCAAGCACATGAAACTGTCAAAGTTCGCAAAGAAATATCTGGTTTGGCAAGCCATCTGTACCTGTGGCTTGAAAAGCAGCATTTTCATAGCTTCCGGGACTGTCAACCAAGAAATTTACGTGAAAGAGTGTTTGAATAAACGTCTGCTGCCTTTCCTGAAGAAACACGGTTGTTCCGTACTGTTTTGGCCGGATTTGGCATCTTGCCATTACGGTAAAAAGGCCATGGAGTGGTACGCCGCCAACAACGTCCCAAGGACAAGAACCCTCC